TAAAACATTTAACCTACCTGTAATAGAAAAACATTTTTCAAAGACCTTCAGTTTACTCTGTGAAATTCAGAATGGTGCAAAATCCCTACCTAATTCCTAACTTTTCACTATTTGTAATGCAAGTTTGGTGAGAAAGCACTGATCTGGAAGTTACAACTTGTTTGGGCAATTTTCAAAGGCATCTTGAGTTATGGGAAGATTTAAGGGCACTTAGTAGATTTTGCAGAAACTTACCAAAGTTTACCTTTTTCTACTAGCAGTTTCCTGTAAGGAGTTAAAAGTTGTCAACCACTCTGTCTTTTTCAATGTGAAACCCACCTCATGAGCTGCTATCATCAGTACTAGAAGCTTCATCTCTTATGGAAGGTTTGTTGTTAAGTGCTGTTGAGTAGGTTCTGACCCATAGCAACCCTGTAGAGTCCTCAAGGAGCAGTGGGTGAGTTTGAACCACCAACCGTGCGGTTCAAACTGATCTTGGGATCCAGTGCATTATCCTGCAGCGCCACACGGGGAATATGATGCAAGATTTTTATGCCATTAAACTTAATTTTTTAAAATCTGTTGACCTCTTATAAAATTGTCTTATGTGAAAAACTGGAACTGGACCTGAATATAAGGCAGAATTCACAAAATCAAGTGGTCTTTTAACCCTAGTGCTGTCTACAGTTTCCATAAGCACTGCTTGTTCTTTAGGACTCCTGGTGTGGTGCTGTAGGATCGGCATTGGACTTTGAATCACAAGGTGCTCCTTGGAAACCCTACACAGGGTCGGTATGGATCAGAACCAACATGACGGCATGTAACAAGAAGAGTGTTTTTTTTTTTTTTTTTAATTTAAGGTTTTTATTGTGGATTGAGTGAAAGTTTACAGGGCACATCATCAGTTTCACATTCAGTCATTCATATAACTTGTTTCATTACATTGATTATAATCCCCTCCATATACCATCAGTTAAAAGTATTTCTCTTTATCCACTTTAGCTTTTTTTAAAAAAACACACAAACAAAAAACCCCACTCAGGCATATATAATAAATTACATCTCCAAAGGGCACATTCTGCAAGTCTGCCTCCTGGCCACCAGTTCTTAGTCCTTCTCTTCTTAGTTGATGAATCTAGAGTCCTCAGCCGCTCCCACTCTCCATGCCCCCATCTCTGCCTCCATCTCTGGCAAAGAAGCGTGTTTTTTGATAAGCATTTTAAGTGACTAAACAGGACAAGAAACTAATGACAAAAAAAACAAACCCGCATAATATAATCCATTTATCCAGAAAAGGGTTGCTCTTGAATAATTCCTTTGAGACTATAGTTAACGTTTTGAATGTTTCATGTCAGGCAGTCTGTTTTTTATAAAAGCTCTCAATCTTATAATCAATCCTCTAGGTACTATTTACATTTTACAAATAAGGAAATTAGGAGGATACTTTTTTCCTTCTGGTTTCTCTCTAATACGCATTTTTCATTAATCATCTCTAGGTATTAACAACATTCTATTATGGGAGATGAGGAATTTATCTCATTTTTTGTTGACAGAATTCTCATTTATTGGAGATGATCTCAGGGTTTCCACGACGTTATCATCTTAGTACCTTAGGAACATTCCTTGTATTTTTTCCTGACAATACATTGTACTTTTTCATTTTTCTGACTTCCCTCAAATATATCTTACATATTTAAAGCTCTGTCAAATGGGCCACTACACAATCTTCTAGACTCCTGGTGTGGCATTGTGGGTTAATACACTGCACTGCAGTCGGTTTGAACCGAAAAGTCAGGAGTTCAATCTCACCAGCTGGTCCTTGGAAACCCTATAGTTATCACTATGGTTCTGAACCGACTCTATGGCACTTAGCAACATACAATCTTCTACATAGCCTAACCTGTCAGGTAACCTCAGGTCTGTTGTAAAGTGCCGTTGAGTCAATTCCAACTTACAGAGACTCTGTATGGGTTTCCAAGGAGCAGCTCGTGAGTTTGAACTGCTGACCTTGTGGTTCAAACCGACCTTCCTATCCAGTGCTTTATCCCACAATGCAACACCAGGACTCCAGGTCTAGCCTTTAGCAATTGTGGAGTAACTGCTGAAACTGCTTTCTTTTCCTGTGTTGCATCCCATTTCTAGACTCTATGTCTACTTTTTTCTTGATTTTCCTTTTTGATTAAATGGGAGGAAAATCTGAGAACTTGAATGCTTAATCATGCCTTTTATTGCCACCTTTAATGAAATATAACCAGGTATTCATTCCAACTTTTGAAGGCACTACCATTAATCCCTAGCTTCAATATTGTTGAAAACCTATGATCAGTGGTGGCTGGTAGTTATGTGCCATGGAGTCGGTTACTCACAGTAAGCCTGTATAGGGTTATTTCTGAGGCTATAAATCTTTACAGGAGCAGAAAGCCTCATGTTTCTCCTGTGAAGCAGCTGGTAAGACTTGGAACTGCTGACCTTGCAGTTAGCAGCTCAGCTTGTAATTCACTTTTAAGACCAGTATTATGCTTCATAAGGGTGGCACAATTGGTTTGCACTTGACTCCTAATATAAAGGGGTCCTACTGTGGCACTGTAGGATAAGCAGTGGACTACCAACGGCAAGGTCAGTGGTTCAAATCCATCAGTCACTCCTCAGAAGCCCTACATAGGGTCGCTATGAGTTGGAACCAATTTGATGGCATTTAACAACTAACCTGAATGGCTGGAGGTTCAAACCCACTCAGGGGTGCTGTGGCACATAGGCCTGGGGATCTGTAAAGATTACAATAAAAAAACAAAAACCCCTGTGGAGCAGTTCTACTATGTAACACATGGGGCTGCCATGAGTCAAAATCACCTCAACAGTAATGAATTTATTATTTTTATTATAGCCATGTATCACCCATGATACAGTCTATGAAATAGGACATTACGTGATTTGGACGTTGTGCAAACACCGTGTTGTATGTAGTCTGGTCCTGCTTTTTCTTTAAGCATTTTCAACAAGCTTCATGCCTTAGCAGGGATCATCAATGTGCTGAAGGATTTGCTTTTGTGTTTTGTTTCTCAAGCCACATCATCAGCAGTCTCTCCACATCTGATACAGGTTCCTTTTGCATTTTCATTAGCCTTGTAGCCTTCAGTGGAGCTGATCGTTTAATACGTGGGAGAATTTTTTCTTTGGAGAATCTTTTGCTTTTGAAGATCGCAGTGATTGTAGAGTGAGGTACCCCTAAATCATGAGCAACAACATTCACTGATTTTCCACTTTAGCGTTGTTTTGTTTCACTTCCAAACTGGTACATCTTCTTTGCCTCTGGCTGCTGTTACTAGTACTAGTCTTGCTGCATTTGGGAAACATGATGCAATTTACAGTAATATTTTGAAAGAAAGTTAAAGAGCGAGACAACACGACAACACTCAAATCTGAGATAAATGAGATTGAGTCAAACTTTTCAGATAGATGTGCAGCACACATTAAGCCAGTAACACAAGTGTTTATTATGACTATCAAGACAAGTTATACAAGGAGGGCTTCAAAAATTTAATTGAAAAATGAAAAAGAAAATGGAATTTCTCCATGAACTTTTTGAATCCTCCCTGTATACGTGCTGTACCACTTTTATACAGGAGACGTAAGATACACATGCGCAGGGAGCTCTTCCCTTCCTATGTTCCGCTCTTCGATCCAAATCTGTGCTCTTTTATAACCTTACAAGATCACTGATGAACATGTGATCAAATGTTGCCTGAACAAATGTTAACTGTTTTCTTAATTTTTAGAACACAATCTAAAAGTAAGTCTTTTGCTGTACGTAATCTTTTAGCATATTTTTGTCTGGTGTTCTAAAATTCCATGCTGGTAACTCTTAGTATGGGTGTTAAATTTTGTTTTGATAACTCAGTAGCCTTTTTTTAAATCTTAAGATTCGTCATTTCACCAGGTAAAATTTCTTTCGTTTTCCCAAATAAAATATAAGCGTTTTCCATCTCTCGTTTTCGCAATTCTCTCCTAGGAACTCCTAATGGTTGGATATGAAACCTCCTGAGCTGTTCCCCACACTCTTTCCACTTTTAATTTTTGTTCTAGAGCATTTCCTTTTTTTAAAAAAACTCACAGAATTTATTAATATTTTAAGTTCTTGTGATGTTTTACTAGAATCATGCTGTATTTTTTTTTATCTGAGGCTATTATAGGTCTTGGATAGTTTCTACTTCCTGCCAGCTATTTATTATCAAAGATCAACCTTTCTTGATCAAAGTTTATTTGCAAGAATTCTGATTATCTTTGGCTGTCCCTATTTAAAAGTGAAACAGGAGAAACCCAGTTGGAACAGCGTATATAGGCAGGACTTATAGACTGGTGGTGTACTTTATTGTAAGGGTATTGGTTGGCAGATGGGTTTTTTTAGGGTAGGGACCCACATACATAGTTTCTTCTCTTAGGAGTAGTTGAGTTTGTCTAGGAAAGGGACCTCCACCATTCTGCCTGGTAGGTATAAGACTGGCTGATGGTATTCTGGAACTAATTAAAGATAAAGATCTAAGAATCTTATTTATCCAGTATGCAAAATTCTGCTTCATTCTCATTTTTTTGTATAGGCTGTCTCATTTTAGTCTAGTGGCTGACTTAACAGTCTATTTGTCCTTAGTTTAATTATTCTTAGAATTAACATCAGCAATCAACTTTAGACATGTTTGCTATAGGGTAGTTAGTAAATCTTGGCAAAAACACAACCTATGATGCTGGTGCTTTAGCCAAGTGATTGGATAAAATAGAAATGTCTAATAACTGAGTGTGTCATTCAAGACATATTCCTGCTAATACTGTAAGCTTCAAGTTTGGCTGTCTCCGAAGGAATTAAGGTCTTCCAAATGAAGGAAGTAAATCATAGTCAACTGAGAAGTAGTCACATGTATTTACTAAAGCTATTAAATTAAAAAATCATTGTTTTGGAGGTATCTTCTTTCAAGTTCTAAATACCATAGTCAAAAGAATGACTGAAATAAAATGCAACACACCCTAACAAACAAATGAAATTGGTTTTAGAAAAATCTTCACTCTTCATCGACAGGTTTGTATTCGTTTTCGCATTTCCTACAAACACATTTTACTTTTCAAACTTAACTGAAGCCTCAAGAGCCTTTAAAGCAGCTGGTAAAACCTGACTCCCTTTTTAAATGCAATCTAGCTCTCATCAACTACCTTCTCAAAGGGAATAAACACTAGCAAGCATACAAAAAGAAGATGAGCAAACACAGGGACAAAAGAATAAAACTAGAATGTGAATCTCATTTTCAACAGTAAGGTATCAACTGGGAAAATGAGATCCTTGTTTCAGCACTACTTTTATCTGCAAAAAACAATTTCTCTGTAACCCAATGTGAACCATGGTTCCCGGTATAAGATTAAAAAATAAAACAAAAAAACACCTTTTGAGTTAATCATACAGCTAGATCAAAAAGAAAAGACAGAAAACGAAACAAAATAAAAAAACTTCTCACACACAACAATCACTGCAAGAAAATCCCATAGTCTATAGAAAACATAAAGGAACTTTAATATCCAAACAGTCAGGGTAAAGAATACTGGATTAATGACTCATTAACTATGAATCACTTCAGGTTCTTTACAGTACCAGATGTATTTTAAAGTAAATCTGAATGCATATTGTAGAGAATGAAACCATTTTAGAAATTTTAATTTCCTTACCTGATACTAATAACACTAGTATGAGTTTTGATGGAAAATCCTTAAATAACTTGTTTCAACACTAAGAGTTAAATAGAAGTTAGCAATGTTCCTGAAATGTGAATTTGTTCAGTAGTAACCTTTTCATCATGAGTAATGATACTATTGTCTTCTCAAAATGTAGTTAATGTACATTTTAAGATCTGTGCAATATGAAAATATACTGGCTAATAAAAAGTGGTATTATTTGATAGTCCAAATAAAAGAAAACTGAACTTTTGCTTAAATCCTTTATGCCCAATTAATTTACCCTGCAGTCCTTAAGATGTTTAGGAAATAAAAATATTTTTGAATAAGTGAAAATCATGAGGGTCCTAAAATAGAAACATAAGCCAGAGGAATCTAAAAATAGCTTCCTGATATTTTATTTTTTTAGAGTATTTCATTTAAGCTGCTTTTGGTTACACGCCCTGATCTGTAAAAGTTAACAAGGAAATAAAATTTCCAAGTATTTTAAAATTTTACTTATCGTCCATAAAGCAACTTTTAATGTACCAACACTTAAAAATGTACAGTGACTTAATGAAACATCAGCACAACTGCATAGAATTGAGCTCCAGAGAATTATGCACTACAAAGTGGTCTTTTCTGGGCTCTGATTTAGAAGGATACTGGCGTAGAGACCAGTTTAGAGTCATTTGTTCCCACCTGGAAGATACAGGCCAGGAAACTCTAAGACTTCACAGACCTTTTCTGTTCCTACATAAAATTCTGGGAGTTCTCTGAAGGTCTTAAAAGGAAAAAAAACCAAAAAGCAAATATCCAAATATGTACACTGGAGAACCTTCACCCTTTGTGAGTCAAGGAAGGTGGTTTGTGACCTTTGCTGAAAACAAAACAGTCTCCCACAACTCTTCTAAAACGACTGAAATATACTAGAAATGTCAAAACTAGAACAATGCCATCAAAGACTAAGCCTCTTAATGCTCGGAGATACCCCAAAATGATAAAATTGGGAACTCCAGGAAAACTGGTACCAAAGGAATAAAAGTAATGATTGCACTGAGGATTCTCCTCTTTGAAGGCTCTTTAAGGAGGTAGGATTTTAAGTGTTTTTTGTTTGTTTTTTTGGCCTCTGAACATTTAAAAAATGCTTTGCCCGGCTGGTCCTTTAGGCTAGCATTAGAGTTCACAATGAACCCCAAGCCTGACATAAGGATATTCTACAGTTTCACAGCTATCATTTGTACATATTACAATGAAGTCGACTTACTCTTTTTAAGTAAATCTGACTAGAAAATGGCAACTTAATATATTCCTTTACATACAATTTTATGTCTCAAAATTCTTGAAAAACAAGAGCAGATGACTTTGTATTCAAAGACTACCAAAGTATGTATTTGATATTCACATGCAAACAACTTAAAACCTTATAAGTCTCATGTCAACTCTGCATGATACCTTTAAGAAGGAAATGACATACAAAGTTCGCTAACTGTGCAAAATATTAAATTGCTAAAACATTTTACATAATGAAATAATACACATAAATGTAGAAGTTGACACATGAAATTAACATGGGTTCATAAGAACTTATCACATTCCAGAAATTTTCTTTAGTAACAAGTTTTTTTAGATTTCCAGGTACACAGCAAAGTTCATCACAGAAGATAAAAATCCATTTCAACAAATCCAACAGAGAATTCTCGAGGCACCTTCTCATATAAAACACAAATGAATGTAATTATCAATCCATCTGAGAAAAGTTTTCAATTTAAGTGAACATCATTTTTTTCCATTTAAGTCTTATTTTACAGAACTTTAATAAGGCAAGACAAATTTGTGAAAAAATGGTTGATACAAAAATGATGTAAACTAATAATTTATATTTAAAAACCCCAAAGGGATAAAAGTAGAGATGGGACAACTCAAACAATGCCTTTTTTTTTTTTTTTTTAAACCTAAAACAGAATTGTGCACAAGCTGAAGGTAATAAAGAACTTCTAGACTCTGCACAGTTTTGGTTTGTCTTTTTTTTTTTTTTACATCTTTATATTACATGTTTTAAATCATATCAGGAATGCAAACTAGAACTGCACACTACTTTAGTGGAAAAAAGTACAACATTGTGCAATTTCCTGCCTCAATTTAAAAAAGTGGCAGCAATCCCTGCATTTTTATTTGAAACAAGGATCTGAGAAACTTTAAACTTTATCAAAAAAGGTAATGAAGGCAAAAATTGGCAGACATCCAGCATCTTGTTTTTTTTTAAACAATGTGGATGATAAGTAATTTCATGATTAAAAAAATGAATCTTTTAAATAAATACATTGTATCTGACATTTGCACTGACTGATTTGATAAATCTTTTAAGTAAACAAAGGCTTTACTACACTCCCTGTAGCCTCAAGCCACTGGCTTTAGATTCTGGAGTCCTTTCTCATTGGGTTTCATACCCTGCCACTCGATACCCCGCCGGCTGGTTAGGCAACATGCTGCCATTCTGCCCTTGAGGTGGCTGCACGCCGTAATTTGGACCCATCCATGGTGCGGAAGACTGTGTCTGACTGGTAGAGAATGTGAAAGAAACAGAGGGAAGAGGAAATACACTGATTAAAATAAAATGCAATGCCAGAAACAAGTAACAGACTTATGGGAAATGAGAAATATACTTTTTCTTAAACCTAATCATAAGAACAATTATTATATCAGAGAAAGAAAAGGCAAAGGTTTTTTCCCTTAAATCTAAGCATCTCCATATGTTCAATTCTCAGGAATTACAGCTAATAATCCTCTTAACCTTTTTTTTTAAAACATTGATCCCCTTTAAATAAATCCCATCTCAGAAAGGAAAATGCCCATTTGGATTGGACATAAGTTGTTATAAGGGCTAGTATTTATATTGGGAGCGAAGTGGCTCCATAGGATAAGCACTGGACTGTGAACCACAGGTCAGCTGTTTGAGCCCACCAGCCACTCCATAGGAGAAAGATGAGGCCACAAAAACCCTACACAGGGTCACTTGAGTCCGAACCAAATCTTTGGCACTGAACAGCAACAACAGTAACAAGCATTTATGTTACCCAAGAAGAAATTGAAACAATTGCTAGCATATGTAAGCTCACAAATTTTTCAATATTAAAATTAAAAATTCTTTTATAATAGTGAAGTATTATTATTTCTAGTTCAGAAATTTAAGTAAAATTGCTTCATCAGGGTATATAAAGAAGCTTGTCATAAAACAATATATTAGCAACTGCTTTTGCACAGAAAAAGCATGTTGAACAAAACTGGTATCAAAATAATTATACCTAAGAGCTGCTTATTAAATGTCATGTAAAAAGCTTGACTACGTTAAGTTCTTCATTTTCTTACTAAAAATTTGGTTGATACATTATCAGTCACCACCAATATTTTTTATGGAGTTGATTTTACCTCGAGGCAACATATTTCCAAGTAAAATTTAATAGCGAGAAATATTTAAAATTGTAAATTAAAAACCATTCTAAACGTAAATTTTTTTAAAGGCTAAAAATTATGCTTTAAGACAGAGGGCCCCATTACCTACTAATTACTTAAAAATTGTGTTCTAAATTCATAACATATTCTAAGGTTAATAAAGGAAAAGAGCAAATATGCTTACTTAAATCCCTGCTGGTTCCATGCCTGACCATACATTCCATATGCAGGTACCTGCCAACCATTAGGCATGTATTGGCCAATTTGTTGAGCATTTCCATACCACTGGCCCCACTGGCCATAAGCTTGTGGATATCCAATTTGATTCTGCTTTTAAATAAAAATGTCACAGATAATTTAATGTAATTTGAAGTTATCTATACAGAAGTAATCCATATATATTTAATCACAATATAGCCATCATTATAATGAAAATGACATTTTAAACAAGTTTAGTGACTTCTTAAAAAAGTTAAGGTTGCACTGTCATAATTTTACCTGATGTCCTGAATGTGTACCCTTTGTAAGGCAGCAGATAGTGTCTTAGTGGTAATATTGCACACAGTATAAAGTTTAAATGTTTATAAACTATCCACATAACCGTTTCCTTTAGATGGGAAGGTACAAATATTATTCTTATATTCAATTTGGAGTCCTGGTGTAGCACTGTGGTATAATGCACTAGAACATAAAATTAGTTCGATCCTCAAGCTTGGAGGTTCAAACTCACCAGATACGCCTCAGAAACCCTATACAGGATTACTATGAGTTAAAACTCACTCCCCGGCACTTAACAACATACTCAATTTATTTATGTGAAAAACTGAATTTAGGATTTTCTTACTCCCATCTCTGTGTGCTCCATTTACAACTTGCTCATAGAAAATTTTGTGGGGACAGGTTTGAACCACTAAAGCTGCCTGGACAAACAAGAGTAGCAAAATCTAAAAGAATATGCTAAAGCTCTGAATATGGTTTTAGGAACATTGTTTTAGTTGAGACAAGCATGTTTGTTCAAAGTTCTCCAAATAGCATGTGAATTGAAGAAAGAGTTTACACCCTGTTAGGTTTGTCGGAGCATTTTAAAATCCACTGTGTGAGCCTCAGTTAAATGAGGCAGTCACATTCACCATGCCACCACTGCAATCCATGAACCACTACTCCCACTCTGGAACCATAATACTATCATTTTAGTTAAACTCAATAAACTTATTATTAAGGATTACAATTTAAAAAAATAATAACCCTTATTACTAGACCAACAACCAAATCCCCAAACCAAAAAGCCTCTCACCTGCTGCACGGGATTTATCATATCAAGAGTCTCTTTGCCCCAGTAGCATTTTACAACATGCCCTTCAATAGTGGTGCCATTAACAGAAACAATCGCATGTGCTGCACTTTCATGGGAATTGAACCTATTAAAAACAACATGAAGAATTACAGATACAAATTCCTTTAAATACTTATGAATAAAACCTACTTTAAAAATCAAACTGAATTTGAAATGAAAACAGGCAGCTTACATAAAAGAATATAGCAGGCTGGCATATTTTCTTTGTTTCTCCCCTCAACCCCTAGATCTACTGTGGAGAAACTTTATTTTAATAAAGGATGAAGTTTTCTGACCTTGTGTTCAGAGAGAGCAAAAAATAAGCAAAACAAGAAATCCCAACAAATACTAAATACTAGAGAAATTTCTACTTCTTTAATCAAGGTAAATGTTTAAGAAAATCACTAGGTTAAATATAAAAAAATTATATGTGTGTGGGGGGGAGGGAGGGGTTAAAAGCAAATAAAAAATATCCCTACCGAACAAATGAATATCCTTTATCTGGAAAGACCCGAATTTCCATTATTTGTCCAAATGGTGAAAAAGTCTGACGCATTAATTGTTCTGTTAGATAAAAAACAAACACAAATTAAACAAACAAACAAATACACTAGGCTATATAAAATTCCTACAAACATTAAGCTTCTGGGTTTAAAAATTAAATTGAGATGCCAGAAAGGTAAAGATCCCATACCTGTTAGCCCAGAAGTAACACCTCCACAATATACAGTACAGTTGCTCGGACTAGACTGATTGACCACCTCATCATATGACAGTTGTTTGGTGTTCGCTGGAAAGGTAAAAGCAGCAGTAACGACACTGTTACAATGTTAGTATTTACCTTGAGCAGACTGCTTATATAATATATATCACATTTAAGTTTAACATTAAATCTCCCACAAAGAATGTGTAAAAAATTATCCAGATTCTCTATTTTTAATAGGAGACTTGACACAGAGATAATATCATTTGCTATAATTACAAAAATGAAAACTAAGTACATTTTTGAATAGTAGTCTTGATTTGCTTCTCATCTATTTCTGCAATAAGTCTCCGGGAACAGCTCTAACATTTAAAATCTAGTGTATTTTTCTCCAAAACTCCACATTTCCTTTTCTTCTCCAATACACCTACACTCATATGTACTCTTTGGAGCTGGAGGCTTTCGGGTTGCCCAGTTAGTTCTGATTTGTCTTCCACCAAGCCACTGGCCACCCATCTGTTGAATGGCGTTTTCAGCATCCTGTTGTGCACATTAGAAACAACAAAGGAACATTATTAGATATTACAAAACTTTTAGCAATACAGAAAATTAAAGGTTGCACTTCAAAAATATTCTTTGAAAGAAAATGTTTTAAGAAATAAATAATATACGACAGATTTCCTAAAGTGCAAAGGTGTATTTAAATTTTACATGGATATCAGATTCTGAGAATGTTAATAATCTGAGAAAGCTTGGAGAGCCCCAAAGTCCTAATGAAGTAGTTATCATGAAGTTCATGTAGCTACTCAGTTTCAAATAACAGTATTCGGTATCTCATTCAAAGTAAGTTCTAAACAATAACTATGTTCTAGGCACCAGATTATATAGTAGAGTTGCACTGGTGAACAAAGCAGACATGGCTTTCTGATGCCACGGGGCTTATATTCTTTTGGGGGACAAATAAAGTAACCGTAAATTATGGTAAATGCCACAGCAGAAACAAAAGGCTGAAGCAGAGAATACAGGCATGGGAATCTGTTATTCAGCATGACTGACACTTAAGCTGAGTTTGTGAAGTGTAGACACAGACATGTCAAAACAACGAAGAAGAAAGTCTAAGTAGAGGAAAAAGCACTGCAAAAGTGCTAAGACAAGAAAGTTTGGTATGAATGAAAAAGCCCATGAAAGATTACGTTCAGTGGAATCAAGTTAACAAAAGGAAGGGAATATCAGAGTAAGAATGTCAAGAACTATGTTTAAACAAAGTTTTTTTGGTTTTTTTTCATTTTCAAAAGATCATTCTTTAAGCTAGTAGAATGGTTTAGGAAGACAAGTAGTAAAAGGGTAAAGACAGCTCATGAAATATGAAATTAGCGCAATACTTTAGAGCAAAATGTTGATGGCCAGTACTACTGCAGTTGACAAGCAAAGATGTCAGCTTGAGGACTAAGGTGTGCCTAACCCAAGCCATGATATTTTCAATAACCTCATATGGATGCTAAAGCTGGACAGTGAATAAGGAAGATCGTAGAAGAATTGATGTCTTTGAATTGTGGTGTTGGAGAATACTTAAAGTGCCATGGGTGCCAAAAGAACCAATAGATCTGTTTTGGAAAGTGCAGCCAGAATGCTCCTTAGAGGCCAAGATGGCTAAACTTCATCTCTCATACTTTGGGTATATTGTCAGGAGGGAACAGTCGCTAGAGAAGGATATCATGCTTGGTAAGATGGAGGTTCGGCGAAAAAGAGGAAGACCCCCAACGAGATGGATTGGTCAGGTGGCAGCATTAATGGACTCAAGTGTGGCAGTGGTAGTGAGGTTGGCCCAGGACCAGACATTGTTTCGTTCTGCTGTGCATGGAGTCGCTATGAGTCGGTTCTGACTCGATGGCACCTGACAACTACAGGAGCTGTGGATGCCATCTAAACCAAGTCAATTTGGAGGACAGTGCTGTCATTTACTGAAATGGGGAGAAAGACTGGGAGAGAGGAAGGGAACAGGTTTGGGGAAGAAACAAAGTACTCCATCTAAAACATGTATGGACTGAACTGTCTGCGCCTCCCCTCAAAAAAATATGCACTGTAAATCATAACCCCTGTATTATCTGTGGGAGTCTGGTGTGGTACTGTAAAATAAGCACTAGGTTGCTAACCACAAGATCAATGGTTCACCCATATTACTCAGTCAAGAGGAACTGGGGAAGGATTCTCTCGAGACAGGGGAATAAAAGTCTTTGCGAGCTGGCAAAAAAAAAAGAATATCAGTGGTTCAAACCCACAAGCTACTCCTCAGAAACCCTACACAAGGTCACCATGAGCCACCACTTAACAACAACAATGTTGTCCTGTGGTGATGCTATAGGATAAGCAGTGGATTGCTAACCACAAGGATGGTAATTCAAACCATCAGCTACTCCATGGAAACTTTATACACGGTTGCTATGAATCCAAAGGATTCATGGACACTTAACATATACCTATGGATTAAGTTACTTCACTTGAAAATGCTATCCCATTTTTAAGTTAATGAGACTATATTAGGGTAAGGTGTCTCTAAAGTCTTTTGAAATATTAATGAGCATATTAAGCTTAGAAACAAGGAACCATGAATGAGGAAAAAGACAGAAAACAAATTTCTGCTCATTAAAGCCACCTACTTGTGGTGTATCTGCTATCACGCCACTAGAGAACCAAGACAACAGGCTAAGTTTAAGATGTCTGTGAGCCGTCTTTTAATAAGTGTGGAGCAAGCACAGAGAAGTAGCTTGGATTGGAGATCGAGAATTCAGAGTCAAGAATAAAGACTGGTGCTGGTGGTTGTGTGCCGTCAAGTTGGTTCCAACTCATAGCAACCCTGTATAGGGTGGGTTTTGGAGGCTGTATATCTTTACGGGAGCAGAAAACCTCATCTTTCTTTCACAGAATGGCTGGTATTCGAACTAGTGACCTTGTGGTTAGTAGCCCAGCTCATAATCCACTATGCTACCAGGTCTCCTAAGAAGTAAGACTAGAGAGCGAGAAAAGAAGTCTAGGATAGAGCCCTGAAAAACACCAAAATTTGCAAACTGGGTAAAGGAAATATTTGCTGCTAGTTAAAATGACTAAGAAATCGCCTATAAGGGATGCAGAAACCCACAAAAGTAAACAAGAAGCCAAGAAGGCAGAGATCAGTAAGAGCGAGCTCACTGGTGACCTTGAGAAGAACTGTTGAATCTTCACTCAGTGACCCACGAGTGACAGTAGACTGCTCTATCATTTTCTTGGCTTTAATCTTTACAGAAGTAGATCCACAGAGGTGCTGGATGAGTGCAAACTGCTAACCTTTAGGTTAGCAGCTGACTGCAAACTGCTTGTGCCACCAGACTCATTTTGAAAATAGGGTTGGTATTTCTAAAAGTGACAGCAAGAACCAGATTAGAGTAGATTCAAAAGTAAATGGATGAAAAACAGTAAATGGGGATACAGCTTTGATTTGCCATATGCCAAATGTGGGCTTGGGTTTAACTTACCCTAAGGAATGCAGATAAATTAAACACTAAAAGTTTTTCTTGAAAGACATAAATAGGAAATATACATTCATAAAACAAACTTTACTATGTAATAGTGAACTCCATGAGATGCTTAACTACTGTTAGTTGCATCGTATCCCCCCAAAAGATATAAAGAAACCCTAGCTCTCCAGTGACCTTATTTAGAAAGAGTCTTTACAGTTATAATTAAAGTCATACTGAATTAGGTGGGCCCTAAATCCCGTGACTGGACCTTATCGAGAAACTCCTAAAGAGGAGAGATGGTCACATAAACTGGGAAGTAGACATCAGTGATGCAGCTACAAACCTAAAGAATGTCAAGATTGCTGACAACCAGAAGTGGGAAAAGGCTAGAAAAGATTCTTCCTTAGATCTGTCAGAAGCATGGTGCTGCATATACCTAATTTTGGACTTCCAGCCTCCAGAGCTGAGAAAATGAATTTCTGTTGTACTAAGCTACCCAGTTTGTGGTAATTTGTTACAGCTGCCCTAGGAAACAAACACAACTACTCACTCACAAAAACTTTTTCTGGGTGTGTGAGGGTGGTGGTGGTTGTGAATACACAATAAAGTGGAAGTCTATGTAAACAATACTCTAGAGAAATCTAATTCTGAACTATAAGAGAGAAATGGGGATATAGCCAGGAAAGAAATGTGGGATTAAGTGTGGTTTTAATTAAGAGATAGGAGAAAGAAACTAGAACATGTTTTGATGGTTGCTGGGAATGATCCAGTAGGGAGAGAGACACATGGTATAGCAAGAATAAACACAACACATATGACCTGAGTAATGTATAGGAACTATTCAGAACATGTAAATCTATTACATAAATAGATTAGTAGCTGCCCAGGGACTAGTGCAAGAGGGGGGAAAAGGTAGTGTGACAGTCAATGAGTTGGGGGGTTCTTTTTGGGGTAATGAAAATGTTCTAAAATTGATTATGGTGATGGCTGCACAACACTGTGAATATACTAAAAGCTACTGAACTGAACACTTCAATTAAGTTAATTTTATGGTGTGTGAATTATATCTCAATAAAGCTGTTACTTAAAAAACATAATTAAGCACAGGATCAAAGTATAAGGACACTGCCATCATAAGACATTTGTCAAGGAGGAAGTTTCCTCCACTGAAATAGGAGAAAGAAAGGGAAGATACATTTTATGTAGATTTGGTGGTTGTAGGACTGCTTCTACTTTCTTAACAAAGCAAGAAATAAATTTTGCCAACTCAGGATAATAAAGGAAGTAGGGATACTTGAGATAGAAGTAGGAAATAGATCTCGGGAATTCAAACTTACTAGAGAAGTAGGTTTAGGTTGACAAGGACAGTATAGTGTACTCTTTTCAAGTATGTACCCATGACTGAAACCAGTTGATTAAGTTGTTATGATTCTTCTAGATGCTTCAATATTGGGGATCTGGGTACTAGCATAACAACACAGGAGAGCGCCAGGCAGTGGAGGGCTACTGCAATCAGGGCCACGACACTGCATTAACACCAGAGGGTGCCAATCACTTAGCACCAAGTTTACAGAAGTTGATTCGTAGACTTAGGAAAATTACTTACCCGAAGTTACATCTATCATGAGAGTTGTCAGTATTCAATCTATCTCTGATTGATTCCAGAGACTATACACTGACATCTCTGCCACTTGATTCTGTTACTGGTGCTGCTGTTAGGTACCGTCAAGTTGATTCTGACACATAGCGACCCGAGTCAGAATGAAACACTGCCAGGTCCAGCGCCATCCTCACAACTGCTGTTACGTTTGAGCCTATTGTTGCTGCTACTATGTCAATCCTGTTGTTGCGGGTCGTCCTCTTTTTCTCAGACCCTCCGCTTTACCAAGGACGATGTCCTTTTCCAATGACTGAACCCTCCTAATAACATGTTTGAAGTATGAGAAATGGAAGTCTCATCTCCTGGCTTCTAAAACGCATTTTGGACTCTACTTCCATTAAATATCCATCTAATAGCGTTTGTTTGCTTTTTATATAGCAGGAGGCTATATTCCAGGTTTTCAAACAGGAAAAAATAGGTTTGTAGCCCACTCAAAAACCCTAACCTATTAATAAACACAAGTCTCCAAGTAGCACTCAAATACTCTGAAAACCTATATATCAATGTTTATAAGGAACTCACATTACTTGTGGCCATCAATCCATATACAAGGTCTTTTTCTACCTTTCCAAAATATAATGCTGTGACTGAATAATGCAGTAAAGCTTTCCAAATCTGCTCTACTTTAGCTTTTATTTACTCTCACAGAAAAAAAACACTGCATGGTATATAGGACAGTACATTGGTCAGTTTACATCCTTTCATTTCTCAATGAAAAAAACAAAACAAAACCTGATTCTGACTTACAGTGCCCCCAATACAAAGTTTTTGAGGCTGTAAATCTTTACAGGAGCAGATAGCTGCATCTTTCTCTCAAAGAGAAAGTGGGTTTGACTTTGCAGTTTATCAGCCCAGTGCTTATCCTTACAGCACCATCATGCTTTATCATTTCCAACTTTTCTTCTAATGCACAGATTTTTTTCCAACCTCTTTAGACTTGCCTAGCTTCTTCACAGGCTTTCTACTTTCATAGAAGGTATTTTTACTTTATATACAGAAAGTGATACTGTTATTACACATTTAAACAAGATGCAATCTTACTGTGATAAAAGAAGACTACAATCAATCTCTAGCCTGAACTTGTAAGCCATGTAAACATTTTATAGAGCCCATTTTTATTTGGATAATAAATCTTGTGCAAAAATGGTTACAAGCTGTTGTAGCAAAGCTCTGAATAAGTAAATGTTTTACACTGAGGGATACTGGACATTAGTTCCAATGCACAGACACAGGAACTAGAAAAGAAAAAACATGAGTTTGATACCATCTGGCACAGCTGCGAACACACGTATTTCACAGAAACTACAAAAGGAAACACTGTGTCCCAGCATATTACAACTGATCTTGATCAATTTGACCTGGAGTCATCAAGAAACAATATAAACTTGGCTATACTACTATTATTAAAATAAGAAATGTCTTCCTAACATACATTTCATATTATCAAAAACATTTATCAGTTCATTTCAAGGCAAAAAGTAGAGTGCTTTTAAACTTAATATTCACAACCACTAATTCTAACATGAGAAATCCTGATGTGACATTGTAAGATAAGCACTGGAATGCAAGGTCGATTTGAACCACACTGTTGGCAGTTCGGACTCACCAGCAGCTCCTTGAAAACCATATACAGAGTCGCTATGAGTCGCACTGACTCAACGGCTCTTCACAACAATTCTAACATAAGCAGCCCTGGTGGCACAAAAAGGTTAGCATTCATCTACTAACCAAAAGGTCTGTGGTTCAAATCCCATAAAAAGATTTTATTATTAAATGCCATCTAGTCAGTTCTGACGCACAGCGACCCTGAAAAGTGTAAGGAGCAGCTAGTAGGTTTGAACCACCAACCTTGTGGTTAACAGTTCAGTTCTTAACCTATGAGCACAACACCAGGACTCCCTCATAAAGATTACAGTTTGAGAAGCCCTATGGATCAATTCTATGTCATATAGGGTCGGTATGAGTTGGTATTGACTTGATGGCATACAACATAAAGGTAACACAAGAAAATCCAAGGTGACTGAAATATCAGTGTACACTCCAGACTTAACATCTGTGAACTCTCCCACCATGCATCCCTGCATTTCTGAAACTGTGGTATCTCTGTGATTGTCTTAAACCTTCAGTCATCTAACTGAAAGAGTTAACGTTTTGATTGACTTGAGAATACATTTATAAAGTTCAAACAACAAAGAGTACAACATAGTTATAGACACTTGCCTCTCTGCCACCCATGTCTAGCTCTTATCATTCCCTTTCCCTCACCTTCCTCAAGAAGACCCTCTTGGACAACCACTATTCCAGAAAAGAAAAGAAACTCATGCATCAGAAGAGGTGACTAATAAGCATACCAAAAGAATATGGCTGAACAAATACCAGAATCTGATCAGATAAAACAGTTTAAGGAATTTCTTGGAACCTACAATAAACTTACAGAAACCTGCTTTTTGGACTGTGTTAAAGACTTCACAACAAGAGAAGTAAAACCAGAAGGGACCACCTGTTCAGAGCACTGCTTACAGAAATATTTAAAAATGACACAAAGAATATCCATGAGATTTCAGGAACATCATATTCAGCAGAATGAAGCTCTGGCAGCCAAAGCAGGACTCCTTGGCCAGCCACGATAGACACGTCCTGATGGCTGGACTTATGTTGCAATATTGCTAACAGTTATTGCACTGGAAATGAGGATTCATATGACAGAATCTCATAAAAGCAAAAGTCACCAAGCTAAACTATCTGACAAATGGAAACTACTGGAGAAAAAAAATTGCTGTGTACCAGGAATAATCAAATAGAAGGTCTTGTTCAATGAAAATAATAAGATTCAACGCTTGTTGGGGCCTTAAGATTCAGCAGTTTGGTCACTTGATTAGAAAAATAAACCATTGTTTCTTCAATTGTGACTATTAATTTTAAAGCAAAATATGTATCCAATCATGTATGAGATAGAAAATAATTTTTATTACTAAACGTAAAATAAATGGAAAAAAGAAAAAAAAGAAGACCCTGTCATAAGTTTCTTGCTTATCCCTGCAAGGGAAAACGGACTACACACACACAGACACACATGCATGCATGTCTGCCATGCAAATATGGGCCTTTCCTTTTCATGCATTAGCCTTCCACTAAACAATATACTTTGATCTTTTAAAAACACAAATAACTACAGTGTTATATTACATGGAGGATATTCTAATATTCCAAAGATTTTATCCAAGTGTCACACTGAATATTTGCTGTTTCCTTCTTTATACATCCTACATTATCTTCATTTGACAAGCCACACTATCCTCTGTAAAAACCAGACATTTCAAGTCCCTGCAAATTAATGTTCAGTAAACATTTGGTGAGTGAAGGAAAAAAAGAAGCATTTTTAAGTGCATTAACCTATTTTTTTACAAGGTTCTCACGTCTTGAAACATAGTCTGTTTACCACTTTTATATTACCATAATATCAAATAGGAAGTCAATGTATTAAACCCACATTGTTGTTATGTGTCATCGAATTGGTTTCGACTCACAGCAACACTGTACAGAGTTTTTGAGGAGTGACTAGTGGGCTTGAACCACAAACCTTGAGGTTAGTAGTCTAGCACTTATCCTACAGCGCCACACCAGGACTTTGGCCGATAATTTTGACATCTTTACTACTTATATTCTAAAAACACTTTACCAGCACATTGCATGCATCAAGTACTACATAAATGCTGAATAAAGTATCAAATGAAAGAGGGTACTAATGATCAGTGAAATGAACACATAGCAGACAGAAGAAAAATTAAAACAAATTGAACATTTTCACTCCACTCTTAAAGCACTACACATTCACTTTTTATTGAGCTTACCCATTTGTTGAAAAAGGAGACAAAGCCATATCCCTTAGACTTTCCTGTTGCCATGTCTTTAACCACTCGGGCATCTCTGAAATCAGAAACAATCAGAAATTTAGAATTGCAAACTGTTCTTCTATATAAAGTGAGAATTTCACATACAACTCACTTTCATGTTTCACCTTCATTAAAGTGAACCTTTAATGTAAATTCACTGTTTATTCTATAAAACTTATTATGTATTAGCAAATGAGGCTTAATTTTGTAAACATGCAAATCAGTAACTTCTTAAATATATATGTATATATTGTACAGAAATTTCCTCCCAAATCAAAAATTTTTAAAAACTTAAATATTAAGCATGGTGAAAGCAGCTGCTCACATGAATTATTTAACCACTTACAAGGTATAGTAGATGAATGGCTTTCTTTAACCATGCAATTTTACATTTGCTATTTGATACTATATTCTCCCTAATCAACAAAAAATTAAAATAGAAAACTGGAAACAAAAAAGAATGAAAAAGGTATACTTCCCTAAATTAGTTATTTAATTTTCTCAGATTAATTCATACCCCCCTTTTGGACTATGGGTAAACTGAATAACTTTTGAAAACCTTACATTTTCAGAAATGTTAAATCATTGAAGGAAAATATAGACACACACCTTAGCTTTAAACTTTACAACAAAAGATTTTATACTGAATTTTATAATAGCAATCATAAGATTGATTGGAAACTACAAGACATAAAAGCAAATTTTTAAAAAAGTCAGAAAGTAAAAAAGCACGCCAACATTTATCCACTGTGAACCGTAGCTTGTAGTTAGCCAGGGCAATTCTGTCCATTCTTCAGAGACACTCTGCAAAATAACCAGAGCCCTATTATTTGAGATTGAGTAAAAACCCAGCCATGATAGCTAAAACTCCATACCTCAAAAAATTGGACTCAAATTGTGCTTCACAGGCAATCTGCTTTTAAGTTAGCCAGGTATGTCACAATGCTTGTTCTTTCAGGACACATGAACAAAACAGGCACTTTCACAACAAAAACCCAAGTCAGAAAACCATGCAAAGTAATTTTTATATTAAAGTATACATAACGATTATTTTAGATTAAGAGTGATTTGTTAAGTGTTTAGGGTCAGAGATGGTGGTAAGAAGGGATAAGGAATGCAAGTCACTTCTTATTAAATTATCTATACAATACACACATGCATTTAACTGTATAGTTGATTCACTTCTATACCAAAATTTGCCATACAATCCTAAACTCAAGGAACAGGAAGAGTTGCAATTGTATTAATTATGAAAATATAATAATTTTGATACAAAATATTTTAATAGGCCACCACTACGCATGCTACAGAGAATATCTGAGAACCCTACAAGATAGCATTATCAGTTTACCTCCTTCAACCAAAATAAATAAATAAATAAAATTAAATAAACCAGGAAATTGTCCTACCAACTGCCAGAATGGATTTTTTTAATTTAGTAAAGGTAGCCCCTTGTATAGCCTTAGCTCATTCTATTTAACCTCAACTGAAAATTATTAAACTTAAAGAAAGACCTTTTCTTTCCAGAGACAGAAAAAAATACTATGCATATCAACTATTATAGAGGGCCATAAGACAATCTATAGACTATAAAAATATATCAAATTTCATTAAAGAAAAGTATATATATATATAAATATATATATACACACACCAAATTTATCAAAAATATTGACTCACGATTAAAAGTATTAAAATTATTAAAATTTGAATGTAATTTACCTTAAACTCACCAATTTGTTAAACAGTTTTAACTAATCCTAAACTAAAACTCCTACGATTTTTCAGAAACTGCTTCAATCAATAATGAAAGCATTTGAGAAAATAGCTACTTAATCTACTAACAAAGTTAGAAAAGTTTTGTCTGCTTTAAGTTTAATTTCAGGAAATGTTAGCCTTGAAATATAATCAACTCTTACTCATTTCTCTTGGAAAGGATTCTCTGAGGAAGAAGCAATGAAAGATCTGGATCAGGGTTTAAACTTCTATGACTGCTATGCATTCATATGAAATTTACAGGGATTTCCCACACCAAAATGAAAATATACTGCAAAATTTTGCAGACAGATTTATAGAGCCCTTGAGGGACCAAAGGTTTAAGACTATCTAGTGTAGACATTTGAAAGCAAGCTAAATATCAAAACATAGAGCAGATTATGAGGAACAATGAGAAATAAAAAACCTTCCAAAAATGTCACCTAATAGAATATTCCATTTATAAACCCTACTTTTGTGAATATCTTCAAAGTTGGTCCCTTATTTACAGCCATTCCTTAGTCAATATGTTCTGCCATTTTACCAATGAACTCTTCATAAGAAAGCCCCCAAAATTCATCATTAAAGCTACTGATGATTACTTTCCAGATTCCTCACCTTCTCCTCTCTGGTGATCTATTCATCACACCAAACTACACCTAATATTTCCTTTTTACTATACTTCTAGTCTGAACAAAAATAATGCAACCAGAAATTCTAAAAAAAAAAATCATTTCTAAATTTAAAACAAAACAAAACAAAAAAAAACCCGCTTTTATTCTAAGAAAAGTATTGTAATAATCTTGTTATTCTTATTCTAATATGGCATTTTTGCAAAATAATTAAGTTCTTCTATGATAAAGCTACTTTAATGAGCTATTTACAGAAGGCCTAAAATAAAATGTCTGATTAAAAACAGATGCAAAGAAGACTGTGCTTCACAAAACACTGAGGCACTACTGTTGTTAACAGTTAAAAAAAGGAGGATCGAAGCAATCTAAGAAATGTCATTTATTAATTGCTTTCAAGGTTAAATTGTTAAGGTTTCTTTTTAAAAAAATAACAACAACAACAAAATGCATGGTATCACAGAAGTGCCCTAAGTTCTAAATTCCTTAAGTCACAGTACACGTTTACTAGATCATGACCGAGCCAGCATATCATCTATAGAAGAAACTCTAATATGTACAATGACAAATTTGATTCTTTGAAGCTAATGCTAATTGAAAAGGATTTTAAAATAATTAAAGACCAAGATTTATTCATCAACAGGAAAATAATCTTTTGTTGCTATCTAACTGAATAGTCTCTAAACAATGGAATACATTATATTCAATCGTTAAAAGTAGTGCTCAAAATTCACAATAAACTTATTTTCATATTACTTCTACATAAGATTGTTTCTAGCTAAAAGCATTTTAAATTTATCTTCAGTTACTTACGATATTCTTCCAAATGGCGCAAAAGCAGCTTTTATATCTTCAGTTGTAATTTCTGGACTGAGATCACCAACAAAAACATGGAAATGATCTTATAAAGGGAAGGAAGGGGAAGTGAAAAGAAAAACAGAACTTTAGAATTTAAAAAATACTAAAGTCAATAAAGTATTCTTAAAATAATTTGTGGATTATTGTATAAGTAAAACACTATTCTGTATCTATACAAATCCTCTCTATTTTAAACATAATGAATCAAGGCGACAATTCATAAAAATTCTCCTAAAAAGACTGGTATACCTAACTTGAAACTGACAGTTATATTTGACAACCAATTACTATACTAGTCTAAGAATATAAACTAATATATAGCAATTCTAAGTACTGCAAAAAAAATTTAATAACTTAGTTACCATTTTAATAGTAATTATTTACTTTTATTCAGTTTACCACTATGGTAAGCCATTAACAAATTAAAATAAAATAGTGGTATTGTGAATTATGTTGACTAGATTGGCCTTAGTTAAGACAATTTACTGAAGTTAGCTACACGATACACTTGGTTTAACCATATTTTGTGAAGAACAATCAAAGAAATACCTTGCATTGCAACAGTTTGATGTTAAAGTATTTGACAGTTTTCTCAAAAGCCAACAGTTTTGGTTGCCCAGACATTACACCATTCAGTTTATGTGAATCCATGTGCAAGTGAACTAAGACTGAAGGCAACAGAATGAAAACAGTAATCCCTTCACTTTGATTATATCAGAGTCATTAAAAAAGCAACGGAGAGAAATACGATCCCATATCTGAAGTTTTTTTTAAAAAAGACAATTCTTGAAAAAAAAACCCAAAACATTTAAAAGTAGTTGGACCAACACTTCAAAAAGGACATATATGTATATATAAATTTTGATAAAGTATATTTGGTAAGAAAAATTACCCCTATTTGGCAGGCCTTAAGCAACATATTGGTTGCCATTTGGGAAACACAGTTTCAGGAGCAACTCAAGCATTCTGAAGATCTGGGTATGAAGCACAGATCGTGACTTCAAGGAAGCAGGGTATCTTGCCCTTTAGTTGATGAAAGTATTTCTAAGACATCAGCTGCTATCAAGGGGGTCAGAGAGCTTGAAATAGCACCAAAGTAGTGGACAAGCCACACTCGGTCAACACTGGGAAGAAGGGGGAAAAATATCGCCAGAGAGACAAATAGAAATACGACTCCCTCCCTCCCTCCTCCCACCAATATCAAACAAAAAAAAAAAACACACACACACTTCAGGTTGTTAGTGATACCCTTTTCAAGAGATTTCATTTTATGTTTAAGAAGATACAATTACCTTGTGAACGCTGTGTGCTGACAACGGTACTACCTGATGACAAAGATTAGATTTGTTCTTAAATTTATTAACACAAACACATTAAATCATATCTTAGGATAACGATCAAAACATTACTGCAAACATGTATGATGTTTATATGCTTTACAATAAAACTACTGTGTACAATGAAAACAAACGTTCAAAGAGTATAAAATATACTTACTGCTTGTGTCTTTCTTTTGGCTGCTGGGAGTTGTTGCCCAATTCACTTTGACTTCCTAAAAAAATTTTTTCTACATTTATACCCCATAAAGATAGAGCTTAAAATCATCTATTATTAGATCTTAGGAAGGGTATATATTTGAGATGAAATATTTAAGGGGACAACAGTTTTGGCCAGAGTTTAAATACCAATATTTTAACCTACATTTATACAAATCATGTTGACAAGATTGCAATTTATATGCTTCTATGTTAACAGGCAACTAATTTTTTCTAACCTAAAGCATCGATGACTATTTTCCCCTATTATTTTATCCCCACTAGCACCCAGCATTCCTAGCTGTTTCCTCCAAACTTGAATCAAGAAATATTCCAGTATTTATCATGTACATTTCAACATGAGAAATACTAACAGGCCTCTGTCCTCTTAAATCTCGATTTCTTCTTTTCTATGGTGTGGTGCTAGAGGATAAGCACTTGACTCCAATGTCAGTTTGAACAGAAAGGTTCTATTACTAGGAAACCCTACACAGGGTTCACTACGAATGGGAACTAACTCCACAGCACTTAACAACAACAACAACATATCAAATATGAGTAACTGACATTTTGCTGTGAATATTTATAAAAAAAGAAATGAAGCTGTATATAGAAGTTTCCAGTACAAGTCACCTTCTTTCATTCTGACCGCTTACCTTACCCATTATCTTCCGCCCGTTCATAGCAGCTAGTGCTGCAGCTGCGTGACGATGCTCATAAAACTCCACAAAACAATAGGGATCATTTCCAGCTGTCTATTGGAGAAAAAACACAAAATCCATTTTAAAGTTTGATACTCCCAATTCCTTAAAATTAAACAACATTATTTCTTTGTGTGTGTATGTGCCAGGTCTTATACAACATCTCAGGTATCAGGGAAAACAAAGAGTTTATTCCACAAACATTTAGGCAAGAAAATAAATTAACTCCTCACTTACTGACTTATCTTGTTATCCAACATTTCACATTTACAATAGTAAATATCAACTATTTGATAATTTTGCAGATTAACGAACACTGGTATATGTCAACTCGGTTGAGGCATGATTCTTTGAGGTTTGGCAGTTACATAATGATATAATCTGGCAGATAATGATGTAGCCATCCACTGTTTTGTGGTCTGATGTGGCCGTCCTCCATCTTTGCAAAAGGCTGATTTTTACTTAACAAGCTAATGTTTGGAACCTAACCAGGTCGCTACATGAGGAAGAGTGCAATTTAACAATTTAATAATTTCTTTAAGCCACAAAAGGTTACATTTGACTAGACTGCTATTTACAGGTCTTGCTGTTATGATTTTTCTCTCTTCCCTATCATGTTTTCTTTTTAGTGCTACAATATGCATATACCTCTTTGCTGTTTCTGATTTTGAACTACAGGTAACCAGGCTCTGAAAACCAATTAGTTTTAGAATGGGTTTTTAGAATACGAACTTTCTGGCGTCCATTTTTTGTCTGGTTAACCTTTAAAAAATTCTCTGCTCTAGCCTTTAAAAAATGCTCTCCTCTTATTTGCCAGTGTTCCAGGTAGTTGATTTTAAGTGAACCTCTGAAGTCTTACTGTAAATTAAAACAAAAGAAAAAACACCCAACACTTACATTTAACCTAATCCATTAATCTACTACCGTCTAACTGATTCCAACTCATAGCAACTGTATAGGACAGAGTAGAACTGCTCCTTAGGGTTTCCGAGGCTAGGCTGTAAACCTTTTATGAAAGCAGATTGCCTCATCTTTCTCCCAGGGAATAGCTGGGGGTTCAAACTGCAGCCCAATATTAACTCATTGTGCCACCAGGGCTCCTTCATTTTACACCTGTTAACACCAAATGATACTATAGTCCATTCTTCCGTTAATCTTACACATATTGTTAAATTAAAAAAACTTGAAAATGCTAGTAGAATCTAGGAAAATACTTTGTTTCATGAATAATTAATAGTTTAAAAATATCACTAGCAAAGATTCCTATGAATTTTAGAGCAAGGAGGCAACCACAAAATTCATAATTTGGGGACTATCTAATATTAAAAAATACATAAAATATAAAAATATTTTTTAAATTGCAAATTTCAAATGAATGCTATACTTAGTGAGAATTCTATGACAAAGGTAGGTTCACAGGCATTAGAATACAGTTAGCAAAAGGAGCTTGCACTTTTTCTGTATCGCAAACGAATGAAAAAGAATTTCATTTCACTTAATTTTTACCCAGAAAATCATATTTAAATAAAAAGATTCTATGCATACACATCAAGGAGCTCTGGTAGCGTAGTGGTTACAAATCGGATGGCTTAACCAGGTCAAAACTATCAGCCGTTCCTCAGGAGAAAGATAAGCATTCTGCTCCCGTAAAGATTTACAGCCTCGGAAACCCTGTGCAGGGTCACTATGAGTCAGAACCAACTCCATGGTACTTAACAACAACAACAATGCATACACATCAGCTTTTAAACTTCAGTCCACCAACTACTATTGAGTTACTTCTGACTCTCAGCAACCCTCTGGAATAAACAGACTAGAACTGGCCCTGAAGGGTTTCTGAGACTAAATCTTTACAGGAACAGAGAGCCTCATCTTTCTCTCTTGGAGGGGCTGATGGGTTTAAACCACCAACCTGATGGTTATTAGAATAATATAAAAAAAACAATAATTACGAATATACGTAATTGTTTTTGATCACTTTAAAAGTTATCAAAAACAAAAAAATACAAAAAATGGCAAAGGACATTTACCTAAAGACAAAGTTGAAAAGAGAAAGGAAAGATGGTAGAATGGAAATACAAACCACAGGGAGGAAGTGGGATGAGAGGATAGCAAACACTGGGATGAAACCAAGTGTATTATTTGTTGAAGTAAAACTAATGATCATCTCTATAAGCTTTCATTCAATTCACAATGAAAAGTTTAAAAAAAAAGTGGCAAAGGCTAAGCTAGCTAGTCTTTTCTATAGGTCAGACAGCTATTAACTATTTGCCTAGTGATCATTTTCCCCAGGAAAATATCTAAAATGTGAACAAGGCAGACACCAGCAGCATGCAAACCAATGCAGAGGATTTATGTTTAAGGTAGATCACTTCAAACTTAAATCTTTCCTTTATCTCCTTTCTTCATAAACAAAAATAGGAATATATGCTTTATAATATTTCTATTGAAGATTTGCAATAATGCATCTATTTTAAAATAACTGATTTCTAGATTAACCAATCACTTTACACTACATATAAAAATAAACAATCCTGAGGTCTTAATGTATTGTAACGTAGAAATGACCCTCTCTTTTCCTTTTAATTAGTGAAACAAACTCAGCAACCCAAAAATGATTTGTTATAAAATCACAAAAATCTATATGAATTAAGATTGTATAAACGAATATAAGTGTTTTTGGAAATAATGGTATTATGTAGTATATGAAAAAGAAGAACGTTAACTATGTAAAATACCCTTACATCCATTATCATTTTGCAGTTTTTACAAGGTCCAATTTGGCTAAAGAGCTGGAGAATTAGAGCTTCTGTCACATCTCTGGAAAGGTTACCGACATATCTGAAACACAGAGAAAAATAAGTAACCATTTTAAAACTTACTTCTTTTGAATAAAAATTTTCTACGGTTGTTTATAGAAAAATGAATTTTGGGATTAAGCACGCCTTTTATATAAGCTATAGTAGGAGCCTTGGTGTGGCACTGTAGGATCAGTACAAGATCAGCAGTTCAAACCTTACCAGCTGCTCCTCAGAAACCCTATACAGGGTCTCTACGAGTAGAGACTAACTTGATGGCACTTCACAACAACAGCAGCTGCAAACAGCTCATAAAAGTTTGCAAAAACTGCAAAATCTCTTTCAAAATATAGTAGACACTGAATATCAAAACCATTAGGCAAAAGGGTGGTGTGGAAGTGGACATTCACATAGAGCCAAAGTTAGTTGATAGGGAAAACCCCATTTTAAAAGTGGGAAGCTCTGGCTGTTAACACTGTAATTCAGTGATCAAACTTTAAATCATTTTAAAGAGGGGCAATGAGACTGTATATGTACAATATGAGTATGTGGACCCTTAGCAACATTCTCGTTACTGACCATTCTCTCCATAACAAAATATTCTTCTTTTTGTTTCCCTTGCAGTATATTCACTTTATTTTCTTCCTACTTTGAACTTTAAATACTGTTTCTTCTTGCTCAGTTTTTATTTTGTTTTGTTTTTTGGGGGGGTCCTTTCCTCTTCTATCTCATGTTTGTTTAATGAGATTTTTCAAAGGAATAATTAATTAAACATGAATTTAGTTGTTGTTGTTAAATGCTGATGAGTCAGCACCAACTCATAGCGACTCTGTATAGGTTTCCAAAGGGTGACTGGTAAGCTTGAACCGCCGACCTTGCAGTTCAAACGACTTTGTAGTCCAGTGCATTCACCCATAGAACCACACCAGGACTCCAGTGTTGATATTTGTTGTTGCTGTTAAGTGCTGTTGAGTCGATTCCGACCCATAGTGACCTTGTACAGGGTTTCTAAGGAACAGCTGGTCAGCTTGAATCACTGACCTGGCAATTCAAACGACTTTGCAGTCTGACGCATTTAGCCCACAGCGCCAACCAGTGTTGACATAGTGGTGTGTATATTCATGGTGTGGCACTGATGGATAATGTGCTGTGGACAGCAAGGTTGGTTTGAACCACAAAGTCGGCAGTTCAAAGTCACCAGCCGCTATACAGGGTAGCTATGAGTTGGTACTGATTCAACGACATTTTTAAAAACAATATTCTTGTTGAATTAATTATTCCTTTGAAAAACTTCATATACAAACATGAGATAGGAGAGGAAAGGACCAAAAAATAAATTAACAAAAATAAAAACCAAGCAAGAAGAAGTAGTATTCAAAGTAGGAAGAAAATAAAGTAAATATACTGCAAGGGAAACAAAACAAAGAGTATTTTACTACAGAGAGAACGGTCAATACGAGAATGTTGCTGAGAGGTCAAATACAAAGAGGACCCAAATGTCCAATGGAATTAGCACTAGGGAGGTTTCATTCATGATCTGAGCCCCAACAACCTGAGTAGTACACTGAAGACAGAAGCTAAAAATTCATGGGAAAGGAAAAAATAGACGCTTCAGTAAGTCTGCTTAAGCATCAATCTTCTACTAGTATCAGAGGGAATGTTACCAAAAAATCTAAATGCTCATGGAGATGTTTATCCTGTAGTTTTTATTATTTTTCATTTAGTAAGTCACCATAATTAAGGATATATGGTACTTCTGGAATTTCAAATATTTGTTGAGTATTTATGAGTGTATAAACACTGGGGAGGAAAAAGAAAATAAGACACAGTCCTTACCTTGGTTTGTTGGATAATATAAAAGAATTCATGACCACAAGACAGTTATCAGGGTAACTTGGTTAGTTTAACCTACAACTGCTATGGAAATAGAAAACTGAAGATCATTTGAGAATTTAATAAGAGTCTTATCCACGCTGACAGTATGTGAATTGAGAGGTGATCTAGGCCTTAAAGGGTTTGCTCTAGGGTAGGAAAAAGATGCCATTTGCAATAAGAGAAAAGGAAAGAGTAAAAGTATAGAAGCAGCAATCAAAGTTCTCACATTCCAGAAACCACTTTGTAAATGACAGAACTTAAAAAGCATCTCTTTGGAGAAAAATGCTCATTCTAAGGCAGGTACAAGGAACATACAAGATGAACATGGATGAATCTGGAGCATCTTGTGGCACTCAAAATGAATGCTTTTTTAAAAATGAAAAGAAAAAGATATTGCTGCAAGTTCTACTCATGGATGTTAAAATTAGCTGATAAACTTTGAGAAAAAAATATTTTCATGGCTTCAAAACATTTATCGGTTTTTAAACAATGAATTGGTAATAACACATCCATAAATTCAGACTTTTTTAGCAACTCTATGTACAACAAAAACACTGTCCGTTCATGTGTAATCTTCACAGTCTTTTCTGTTTGAGACCACTGTTGTAACCACTGTGCAAGTCCATTCCATTGAGTCTCCCTCTTTTATAAGGATAAGATTGTTATGATTCAACAGTGAGTAATCGTTATCATGATTAATTGTGACTGTCACAACTGTAAAGGGAGTTTTATAACAAAAACAGGGGAGCAGTTAATCTTACAGTCCAGAAACAGAGGACCCTAGGACCATAAAGGGAGAAGACCATAAGCAGAATGCAGTACCTTATCCAAAGAAGCAGTGACACCAGAGATGAAGACAGAGAAGAGGACATGGAGAGAGAGAGCAGCTGAGGAATCTACATTCATGGGAAGAGAGGGACTAAGAGCTGGCGGCCAGGAGGCAAGCTTACAGTTGTGCCCTTTGGTTGTTTAAATGATTATATATTCCTGTTTTTGTGTACATCCCCTCTTCCAAATAAAACCAAAAAACAAAGAGAATAGGAGCAAATACTGTTGAATGATGATGCACAAAGGAGATTATAATCATGGCAATGAAATGATGGTGTAAAACTGATGTTCTCCCATGTAAATTATCACACATTTCAAAATTAAAAATTAAAAAAAAAAAGAGTCACTCTCTTTTCCCTTTCTACTTTACCAAGCATGATGACCTTCTCCAGGGATTAATCAGTCCCTCTTGACAATACATCCAAAGTATGTAAGACAAAGTCTTGCCATCCTCCCTTCTAAGGAGCAATCAGGCTGTAATTCTTCCAAGACAAATTTAATCATTCTTCCGTGGATCAAAGTAAAATGAAATCTTGATTGTGGATCAAACAAAAATGAAATCCTTGACAATTTCAATATTTTGTGTGGTGCCATAGGATAAGCATTGGACCTCAAGGTCAGTTTTAACTGCAAGATCAGTGGTTCAAACTCACCAGCCGCTCCTCGGAAAACCTATACAAGGTCACAGTGAGTCAGAACCGACTCGATGGCATACAACAACAATCAAGACACTACTTATTGGAGAACAAACAAGATGGTGGATCGGACAGAAGTGCAGTGAGGAGATCCATCAGCAACAACACAGAATACTGGACCAAGGTGGTTTCAGGGGATGGTGCCAGAACTCTGAATCACATATAAAAGAATATTTAGAAGGTTGGAAGGCTTATAGCTAGGGTAATTTGTAGCAGAAGCAAGAAATCCATTGCTTTCTAATTCAAGACACTCAGCTGCTCCCAGAGCCGCCACCTTGGGAGAGACCAAGTGGGGGAAGGATCACAGCAGCCACGGATGCCTGATAGAAGGGCAGAGATAAAGGTGTGGACATCCTTTTTTTTTTTTATATCCGTTCATTAGTCTCTCACTGTCAGCACTCCTCCATTCTGGTCTAGAGTGGGTGCCTGAGCAAGTGAACACCCCACCACACCCCCAGAGCATTCTACTACGCATGCACACAGATCTCCTTGAACTTTAAAGTGACAGTTTCCACTTAAGACCAAACAGCAGTGCAAAACAGCCACAGCCGGCTCTGAACTGTTTATCACTGTGAAAAAGGCCTGAACGGGGGTTGTGGAGTGGGACAGGCAAACTAAAAAGGAAATTGGCCGAAAATTAAATCCTGAGTTATGTCACAATGACCAACAGTGACATCTTGAAATTTCTCAGGGAGAAAAATGAAAAGGTAAGCCCATCTCCTAATCACATATACCTGGAGGCAATTACAAAGCATAAAAAATAAAAAAATACACATTCATGTAAGTATAAAGGCCACAGATAACTCCTGAATATGCCCCCAAAACAGAAAAATGACCATATCAGCACATATCCAGAAACGAGATAAAGTGACTGAGGCAAATGAACTGGAAGTAAACCTATACTCCATCCATACTGCAAGATGGGCAGGCTTTGGAAATGCCTGAGAAGGAATTCAGAAAAATGATTATAAAATGTATCAAAACACTATATAATGGAGTTGAGAAAAATAAGGAAGAAGTCAGGAAAGTGCCACAGGAAAAATCAAATAAGATAAATACAGCATTGGAAACAATTCAAAACCTACAGAAAGAGGTCCAAACAATTAATAATAAAATATCAGAAACGGACAATACACTGAAATGGCAAAGGAGTAGAATTGAAGAGATAGAAACCAGAACTAATGAGCTAGAAGATAAATCTCTCAACACAAAAAAGGATAAAAAAAAAAATCTGAAGAAGGCCTAAGATTCATGTCGGACAACATGAAGACGAATAACTTAAGAATTATCGGCATTCTGGAACAGGAAGAATCACACAAGTCCACAGAGGAGATAGCTGAAGAGCTTCTGGAGGAAAATTTTCCTAACATCCTGAAAAGCCAAAAGATAAGCATTCAAGAAGCTCAGTGAACCCCAGGAAGGATAGACCCTAAAAGATAATCACCAAGACATATAATAATCAAGCTCTCCAAAATCAAAGATAAAGACAGAATCCTGAAAGCAGCTAGGGAAAAGAGATGTGTAACAAAGTCAAGCAAATCAGATTAAGCTCAGATCTCTGAATAGAAACCATGCAGGCAAGAAGGTAATGGGAAGACATATATAAAACCCTCAAAGAAAAAAAAAAACTGTCAACCAAGAATGC